TCATTTTTTATGTGTTTCCTTTTGTTTTCATGAAATAGGACACTGAGGAGCTAGGAAATATTCACATCTCTTTGGGACTTTGACTTGTGATGAACTAGGGAAGTCAACCTCCTATTTTTCTTTCCTCCAAAGAGGACAAAAGCATTTTCAGGGTTAAAAGAATTAAGCATTTTTGATGGGGCGTTATGCTTTTCATGTTCTATGAGGGAAATCAACTCCCCTATATTTCTTTCCTCCAGAGAGGACCAATGATGAGACAATGGCTTTGAGATCCTTTTTGGTAAAATTAAGCTTTCAAATTTAATGTTCATATTGGATCTTTTTATGCAGAGCATCTCTAAAGAGCAGGCTAAAAGATTTACAAAATTTCGAGAAAGAAAGGGTCTTATTGAAAAAGATGTGGTAAGTATTTTATTAGTCCAGCCTTTTTGGCCTACAAATGATTTGTATATGAGAGGTTGAGAGGCAATATGCAGTTCTTCACATCCGAGCCATTAACTACCAGTGTTACTGCTATAACATAGTATTATTTTGGTTCTTCATATTGTTCTTCTTTCCTTATTCTTTTTTGAATTGATCTTGAAGGTCAGGACTGATAGGTCGATTCCATTCTACGAGGGGGATGATAATTCTAATGTGAAGTGTTTGCGTGACATACTGCTCACTTACTCATTCTACAACTTTGACCTGGGTTACTGCCAGGTAACTGCAATAAGTTAATTGGTGTGTTTTTTCTAATAATACGCTCGTGCAAATCTGCTAAATGCATGATTTCCAGATTTCTAAACATTGAAATTATTATCTGTTGTTTCACCATAGAGAGACTTGAACTTGAAACAATGTATATCTAGGCAGCACTGTGTTCAATATTAATGTTACTTTTCTGCAGAAATAAATCCCAACTTTTTGGTAGTGTAATTTTGTGAAATAAAAAAATAAGATTCAGAAGCTTGAATATTTTAACAGATTCTTCATTCTTACTGAGAAACTTTTTTTTCTTCATTGCAAAAATCTGCTTCAAGATTTAACCTTTCTCCAATCTGAAGCTTTTACTATAACCAGGATAGAGTTTTGGCATAATAAAGTAGCAAGATAATAAAAGCATTCAAGGTTGTGATCTAGCGGTCATGGAAGTGGAAAGGCCCTAGAAGACCAGGCTTCAAATCCCAGTAGAGACAAAAAAAACTCTACTCTAGGTTATCTCACCTCATCTGCCTAAGCCATGTTGCACAGAGTTACCCAGTACATATGTTGGTGGGAGGTAGTAGATACCCGCTAGATAAGTTGAGGCGCGTGAGAGTTGGTCGGGGCACCACAGTTATTTTTAAAAAAAGGTAGCAACGTAATAATGCTGCTTTTATGCATGTCGTTTTTGGTACCTAACGTTATTACTATCCAATGTCCTGATAGTTTACCTTCAATTGGATCTTTTTGGAAGGGATTGTCACACTATCAGTGAACAAATGATCTCATTTAGTATAAATCACAATATCTAATATTACCAGCCTGAGATTACTCAGTTTCCCATTTGACTGTCATATCTCTATGGAGAATTCAAATTTTGGTGGATGATATTGGTGGAAACACGCTTTTGATCCATGTTCTTGTTACCTTTATGCTCCATTGTTCTCTTTATAACTTAGTGTCAGTTCCTTTCCTTTCTTGGTTTCTCACTTTAGATGAACCTTTTTTCAATTGACTTGTAGGGTATGAGTGATTTTCTTTCACCAATATTGTATGTGATGGAAAATGAACCAGAATCATTTTGGTGCTGTGGTATTGATGGAGCGGCTTGGACCAAATTTTAACCGTGACCAGAACGGAGTGCATTCTCAGCTTTTTGCATTGTCAAAGGTTCTCTCTCTGTGTGTGTGTGTGTGTGTGTGGTTCCATCGTTTCCCTTGCCATTTTCTCAACTCCCATCGCATCCCCAGCTTTTGTGTATTCACTATTCAGTTTTGTACTTTGTGTACCTCAGCAATGCTTCGTTCTTGCCTTCTTGGGTATAGAATACACTGCCTTTCTTCAATATTTTTCTTTTATTATTGTTTCATGGATAAAACCGTCTATTAGTAGCTACCTTAAGGTGCTCAAAAAATAAAAGCTACACAAGGCTTAAAATGCTCGAAGAAGTCAATTAAAAAATGAACACCAAAAATATGCAGAATAAGAATTCAATTGAATACATGACCACAACTCACTTGTAATGGGACAATGCAAGAGAGGACGTTGTTTCTGCATAAAAGTATCCTAGTTTTTGTTTCCTTCCTTATTCTGAGGTTATTAACACAACTATAGCATGCCATGATACATGCTAAACAGAAAAAGCTCTTTCTTGTTGCGAATAGAACATCAAATGATCCACCGTTAACTGCTGATGAAATCCATACTGTTGCTATAACCTCTATGGTAGGCCATGAAGCAATGTAAGACTCCTTTTGGGGCAGGAAAAATTTCGGTATTGAAGAATTAGGTGTCGGACAAATACTATCCTTCCAGTGACCACCTAAACATGCCTGACTATTTAAGAAATGAATCATTTTATGGCTAATGTGTGACAGTGCTGCATAATGTTTTCCTTAAAACCTCTGATGTTTCCATCCCTTCATACCCTTTTTTCTGTTGTAAGAGATTTTTTATTTGTAAATTTCACAGTATCTGGTTGATAAGCATATGTCTGCTGTCAAAAGTCTAATGCAAAATTACTGGGCTATGCAGTTGGTGGAGTTATTGGACAACCCTTTGCATGATTACTTCAAACAGAAGGACTGCTTGAATTATTTCTTTTGCTTTCGCTGGGTTCTTATACAATTCAAAAGGCAAGCAGTTCTACTCCTGAAAATTTTGTGCCCTGATTGCATCCAGCATATGATGCGCATGTGTATGAAAGATTTTCTCTGCGTCCTACTTATAAACAAACTTGTACTATTTTCATTTTTCTGTTAGACTATGCTAATGCACTTATAAGAAAAAAAGAGTTAGATTTTGCTGATGAATATGATTAATACTGGTGAAATATTTTGAGATACGTGGAATAAAAGCCAAATCCAACTTAATTCTCTTTTATTTCATGCTGGGAAGTATGAGCTCTCGTCTCCCTGTTGAGTGCTTACTCCCATGCTAGTATATTATGGTGTTGGTGTAGCGTATACCTAAGTTGCTCGGACACGGGTGCGGATCTAGAGGTCGGATCCTTCGAGATATAAATTCTAAGATTCGGGGATACGGATCCTAGTACGGATACGGGTGCAGGAATCCGGCTAAAAATAATTCAAAATAAGAAAAATATCTCTAAATTATGAGAAATTTTGTGGAATGCTTACGTATAGCTTGTAAAGTGTAGATTTTTTTTTTATTCTCAAGTTGTAAATAAGTAAATGATTGATTTCCTAGATAAGGTATGCTCTTTTCTTCAAATTTACCCTAGTTTTGGTTCTGTTTTCGGGAATCAAATTGTATCTCATCTCAAATTTTTCTATCCGTCATGGTTAATGTACCCAAAATTGTTTGATCGGATTCGGTACGGATCCCATACCCACACCCATACTAATGGCTTGTCGACACGGGTGCGGCACCTAAATTGCCATGTCGGAGCAACTTATGTGTGTACATGACCGCTTGTTCTTTTTGTCCATTGATCCTTCAACCATCCACTTGACACCTAGGGAGCTGAAGTGAAATATCCCTTCTCTTGTTCACCTGGATAATCACTTCTTCTTGGACCTTAATCATACATATGAATGTTCTATTGCACCTATTATTATCTAGAGCTTTGATCTAGTGGTAAGAGCGTAACATGTGATGTTAGGTTCACGTCATGGGTTCAAACTCTGTTGCAGCCAATGCCATGGTATTTAAGTGAAGAAGGGTAGATGGCCAGACTCATTATCCACGGAGCTGTGAACCGTGCGCTAGTGACCCGGGATTTCACGATTATTAAAGAAACATGTCTAGAGGTTCAACTAAGTTAACTTTATTAGATATCGTCCGTTCATTTAAAGCCTCCCAAAAAGAAGGCCTCCATTTGTGAATATTTCTCAGAACTACAAGACAATGGCATCGCTAGGTTCCTTTGTTGACTTGTATAAATCCATATTTACATTTCTCTCTGAAGAAAGCACGATATATGGTCCCATAAAGCATTAATCTTTATGGATGTGCACCGTTTCTTCCCAGCATCCCTCTCTCTGTGGATGGGGAGAAAAGAGAAGATAGAGAGAAAAGAATGCTTGATTGCACATTGGCAAAAATGTTATAGTTTTAGCATGTTTTAGTAATTTGAATGTCGTTGATGCAGCTATCCTTTCTCAATTCTTGTGTTACTTTCTGTTTAGACCGTCTTACTTCAAATTGCACTAAACGGACACTTCGATTTCATTTTAGTTGATACCTTGTCTTTTGCAGGGAATTTGACTTGGAGAAGACAATGCGGTTGTGGGAAGTCTTATGGACACATTATTTGAGTGAGCATCTACATCTGTATGTCTGTGTTGCAATTCTGAGAAGATATCGCAGTAAAATAATAGGAGAAGAGATGGATTTCGACACACTGCTGAAATTCATCAATGAGTTAAGTGGTCATATTGACCTGGATGCTACCCTCAGGGAAGCTGAGGCTTTGTTTATATGTGCCGGTGAAAATGGTGAAGCTTGCATTCCTCCTGGAACTCCACCTTCATTTCCATTTGAGGGTACTTCAATGTGTTACCAACAGGACGATGATGATGTATTGTAACCGCTTCTTATGGATTCAAATTTCTTAGATTGACATATGACCTTGGTTATCAGTGTGATATTCTTTCCAGAGTATATATGGATTCAGATAATCAGAATTAAATTTCTTTTGCTAGCACTCACTAGCTCCTCTCACATTTTCACCATGTTTAGACCCTTACATTGAAATCTTATTTCATGGTTTTTTTAAATTGATTTTTTTGTAAAAAGTTTTGTTGCTTCACCAATGCGAATAAGAATTGTAAACCAGATAGCTATCTTTTGAATTAGGAATGCTGATAGCTAGTTCATTACTTTTCTTTCACTTGTTGGAATTGCCAGTACTAGAGGAAGCTGATACCTAGAAAAAGGGAGATTTATCGTTTTGAACTCTTGATACATGCATAAATTGGTTTCGCAAGCAAGCTCATGCACTTTTCCTAGAGGATGAAGCACAAGCTCAGATCCGAAACCCCTAGCATGGGAGTTGTTACCTTGTTTTGGCACTACTGGAAATTGTGCTCTTATGTGAAGGATGCAATAGAGTAACTACCACAAATTTCTAAAGGAATGGCTGAATCTCATTCCACACTTCTTTGCCAGTGCTTGTAAATGTATCAAGCAAGACAATGTCATCCAGTATGGGGATAAAAGGCTCGTCTTCAAGGAATGGCACGTTATTCATTGACAGAGGTGATAGTAAGCTGCAGTTGAAATCCTGCATTTCTTCTATCCATGAATCTAAAACTGAATTGGCCGCCACTTCTTTATTGCTTACTGTCTCAGCAGGAAATTCTTGACTCTCTTTCCCCAGTGGGCTGCGACTGTTCGCCTCCTTGGACTTGACATGTTTCTTTTTGCCTCTACAAGACCTCTTGCTCAAATGTGTGTTCCAGAAGTTCTTTACTTCATTGTCTGTTCTTCCAGGAAGCCTACCTGCAATGAGCGACCATCTGTACCAAAGAAGATTTGAGGTAAGTAAGCGTAGCTAGAAGAATCAATTCACCATTCTTATTGTATCACAGGAAATCAGGTGCAGAGGGGAAAACAGTGACCGGTTTCCAAGGAGCTTATGGAGTCTGATGATGAGGTCCTTTTCATCTTCAGACATCATTCCTCGCTTGATGTTTGGCCTCAGGTAATTTTTCCACCTTAGTCTGCAGCTCTTACCACTCCTCATTAAGCCTAAGACAGATATCGAAACGTTAAACTCTTTGATGTCGGAATTCTTGTAGACTATTGCCCAAATATTACAATGTTACAACTAGCTATAGGCTAAGTGATTACAAGTATACCTGACTTCTCAGAAATGGTGGCCCAGTTTCCCTCTCCATGAATCTCCACACAATTTTTCAATATCAAGTCCTCTTCAGGTTTCCAAAATCCTCTCTTCATTCTTGTTTTAAATTCTTTATCCATCATTGCACTTTTTCGTCTTCCTCTCTCTGTTAATTTTTTGTATAATAAAATAGGAAATGAGTGGTACTCAAATATATAGTTTAAAAGTTGAGATTGGGGGTGTGGGGTTAGACATGTGTCTTACTCCTAAAACAATGATGATGGAATTTAAAATTGTTCACTTTTGGATTACTGTGTGTTGGATGTTATCAGATAATTGAATTGAGGGCCCTCAATGTGGATTCATATTTTGCTTTCTTTTGTACTACCTGACATTGAAAGCCCTTCTGTGTGCTCCACTTTCACCCCACTAAAAGCCATTCAAAAAAATGCTAGCTCGTCTGGGTATTACCTTTTCGCAAGCCCTCCGTGGGAGGAGGGGGAACTTTTTACTTTCATTACTTTATTTTGATGTTCAATTTTTTTGGTGCATTGCATAAACCCTTCCTAATTTTATATTTTGTTCTGTAAATGGAAAGATAATAGACTTAGAACTGTCTATTCTCATTACTTTAATGACGTGCATTACTCATTCAAGCATAGAATCATAAAGAAAAGGTAAATGACTTTCAATGTTATATGATAATTCCTTTTTGCTGGATAAATTTGGGGTTTTCGTTCCCACATTTTAAGGATAATATGGCACCAAATGCGAGCGCTAAATAGTCATGGAGCATTTTGAGTATTTGCTTTAGTTTCTTATCCTATTCCTAGTCTCCAATATCCTACTAATTGTTTTTAAGACCTTCCACTTTTAAGACTTGTCACGAAACAAGAAAACTCAACTACAATGCCTACTACCATTGTTGGAAGGTGAGGAAACAATGTGACATTCTAGCAATTAAGACGTGCTAGGAATGTAATCTGAAAACTGTGAACAGTAAGGATCATGTACATTTGAAAACTGTGACTAGCAGTGACTCATGTCATCGATTATTAGTTTTTTCTAATTCTATAACAAGTCGCAAAAACACGTGTAAAAAATAGTTAAAGGGTGTCCAGGCATAACACTCAAAAATATATTCGGGGAATAACACCAATTTAATTACAAGTATTGTAGGTGTATTTTCTCTCTTAGTTAACAGAATATTTTTATTTTTGATGTAAATACTTGATACAAGAGAAGATAGATACCTTGCTACTTTAATGGTCCAACTTATATTTGCGATTATTCCACCAGAAAAGTTGAGTTGATGGAACGTTCAGCAGGAAAAGTGTTTTTCCCCAACTATGCAAAGAGATCGCACAGAGTATTAGGAGGTCGTAGGTTCAAATTTCAGCTGAGGCAAAAACACTAGGTTCTTTCCATCTATCCAAGCCTTAGTATAGAATTATTCAGTATTTGTGCTGGTGGGAGATAACAAGTATTTCGTGGAATTAGTTGCGGTACATGCAAGCTGATCATACCACGGTAATAAAAAATATCAAAGTATACGTGTCGCTCCTCATTATTGATGAAGGATGTTCAAATATTTAGTCCCACAAGCACACATGTAGGTCATAGTTCTTCTCTGGCAGATACAAATAATTCTTAGATGCCAGCTCAAAATCTTGAAGAGTACTGCTTCCCACAATACGAACTAAAGATTTATCCGTGGTATAATGATCTTGGAAGAAGGGAAAAACACATGGAAGAACACAGGCATGGGTCATAGGACAATTTTAAAAGGTGACTGCCAAAAGTGAAAATGATCCAACATATCAGAGCATAATGCGCCAATCATGAAACTTAAAGCGCCTTGAACACTGTTGTCGATTGAACTCTTAGCTGCCTCTCGGGTATCATTCCACAAATTTGGATTGATGTCTCATTTGAGAATGAGACTTCCGTCCAAGGCACTTTCGAACTAGTATGTGATGTTATTATTTTAGTCCTGCATTTAGGAGAGATATGATTAGAAACAAAGATATACGGGGCAAGGTGGAAGTACCTTCATGGTGGACAAGATGCGGCAAGCGAGGCTGAGATGGTTCGGGCCTATAAAGAGGATGAGCACATATACTAGTGAGGAGGTGCGAGAGGTTGGTAGTAATAGGTCTAAGGAGAGGTAGAGGTAGACCGAGGAAGAATTAGGGAGAGCTGATTAGACATGACATGACACATCTCCAGCTCACCGAGGACATAACCATAGATAGGAGAGTATGAAGGTCGAGGATTATAGTCGAGTGTTTTTTCTTTTCTGTGGGTGAGCATGATTCTAGTTTAGAGCATCGTAGTTGTTACCTCCCTTTCCTCCAACTCCTCCTCCTCATCATCATCATTCAGTTTTATTACTACTGTTGTTTCTTTTACTTTGGTTATTTTTATTTTTTTTGTTGTCAATACCTTTCTTTTCTTTAGTATTTTCATAATAGCCTTGTTTTACTCTCTCTCTCTCTCTATATATATATTTATTTATTTATTTATTTTTTCTTTTTTTTTTTGTGAGTCGGTGCTCTATTGAAAACAGTCTTTCAATATCCCACAAAGTTGGGATAAGATCTGCTTACACTCAAGTCTCAACTCTCCCTAAACCCTACTTGTGAATCATATTGGGTATGTTGTTGTTATTGTTGTTGCTCCCACGTTCAAGGGCATGGCATAACAGACTGTGCTAATAACATGGGTAAACGTGAAAAATTAAGGGGCAACATCAACTAAGGACAAAAAACAATGCGTGATTTATTATCATATGCCTAAATTTTGGTGAAAAAAATTACTTGACACATGTGCTAGTGAAAGTTAGTACTTAGTAAATAATCCATATGGGCACAAGGTGATCCTGTCGCCACAATTATAAGAAAAAATATTACTTCCACCCGCTTTCTTCTTTGTTTGATCATCATCATCGTTTTCGTGTTAGGGTTACGGAAATTGGAATTCAAATGGTGAACGATTTTTGTACTACGTAATCCATGAGACAACGACAAGGTAAATCTACAAAATCCTCTCTTCTTCCACACATGATGAATTAAATTCATCTATAATCTATTAATTAGTAAGATTTATATGTCAGAATATTTTCTAATTGACGTTCAAAACCGAGACACGTTTAAGTACAACATCGTTTTCCATGATGGATAATGTATGTCGTACAATCTTAATGACTGCTGGTATTTTTGAGTAGGAAACCAAAATGTGGTTCTTTTGGGCTCAAAGTACACAAATAGGTGGTAAAAAAAAAATGTTACATTTTTATGTATAGTGTCACAATACCTAGCGCTATACATTAACGGTAACCGCACCGTTAATGTATAGTGCCAGATATTGTGGCGCTATACTGCAAAAGCTGACATGGCGCAGGTATAGCGCCACAATAACTGGCGCTATACCCCTTTTTTAAAATTTCATCCATCTTCTTCATCGTTTCTTCCTCCATTATTTAACCCCTCTTCTTTTTTTGGTCCCCCTTACACCCGTTGCTGCCCTCCATTTAAATTAAAAATAAAATTTTGGGTCCTCCCGGCACATAAAATTTGAAGAACGTAGGTCCCACATTCGAGTAGAGCTTCGTGTTATTGTTGATTCACACTTTCGGAGTCAAAATTTCAATCTTTTTGCTTTCCGAAAATTCTAAATCAAGGTATTTCGATTTATTTTAAGTTGAAATATTTATAATAATGCATATTATTTGATTTGTATGTGTTCTATTTCAGTTTGTGTTTTTTTTTCGAAACTAGCATGTTCAATTTATCTGGATTTAATATTAGTGTTTTCTAAAAAAATATAAATTTGTAAAATAAATTTGTCTGTTAATATCCTGATTTATATATATGTGTTTTCATGCCGTTTTGTGTTTTATTTGCAATTAAATTTATTTGTTGTTTATGTTTAGTTTAGATTATTTTTTAGAGTAGTAAAATCTAGACCTTTTTAGCGTAGTAAAACGTAGACCCTTTTAGCGTAGTAAAATTTAGAGCCTTTTAGCGTAGTAATGTGTAGTATTTTAGCTTAGAATTCCTTTTGTTTAAGTATCTTATACTGGTTGTTGAAAATGCAAACTTTGTACAATTAAGTTATTAAAAATATGAATTTAAACTATAAAAAGACACATAATTATTAATGATAGTTTGGTGCCATTGGGCCTCAAAATATCGAGCCCGGAACCTATAGGTATATATATATAATTTATACAATTAAGTTATTAAAAATATGAATTTAAATTATAAAAAAACACATAATTATTAATGATAGTTTGGTGTCATTGGGCATCAAAATATCGAGCCCGGAACCCATAGGTATATATATATATATATAATTTATACAATTAAGTTATTAAAAATATGAATTTACAGTTGACAAATATGGACGCTACTATACATCCCGGCCCTCGGACGTCGAATTTATTAGCCCTACAGCCCCAACATATATCCGAGTATATATGGGACGGACAGTTGCTTCTGCAGACTTTTCAGGGTAGGAGAGTGGATCTATTGTGGGAGTTTTTGAGTCCTCCCCGCGTGGTCCATTACCTGGAGGAGATGAGATTATACAAGATTATTAGGATTGGCCGCATACAACTCGACTATGTTTTGATCACGACCTTGATTGAGCGGTGGCGACCGGAGACGCACACTTTCCATCTGCCCATCGGCGAGGCCACCATCACACTCCAGGACGCTGAGATTTTATACGGCCTGTCCGCTGATGGCTTGTCAGTTTTACTGCCTGCGACGATGAGATATTATTCGTGCCAGGCATATTGGAGTATGCTGCACATGCTCACGGATTTCATGCCGGAGGACGAGGAGGTAGCATCTGGGGCCAGTCGTATGCAGTTGGTCCCCACTAGAGACCACCTGGTGCAGATCCACCATACTATCACCGACGAGTCAGCGAAGGTGGATGTACAACAATATACGAGGATGCTGTTGCTCCTTCTATTTGGGGGAGTCTTTTTCCCGAACACTTCGGGGAACCTAGTGAGCCTCCGTTTTCTGCATCATATTACCCGGTTCGAGGATACAGCCAGCTACAGCTGGGGTGGTGCTGTCATCTCATTTTTGTACAAGCAGATGTGTCGGGCTTGCATCGGCACACAGAGAGACGTTGGTGGCTTTCTGCCGCTTCTACACTGACAACATATTCAAATAATATGTCCATTAGTTACAATTCTACCAAGTTATAGTTAATCTTATACTTTATGTCAACTTTATATGTTAGATTTGGGTCTGGGAGCGATTTCTACAGTTTCGACCACCTCTACCACAGCTACCGGCTAATGTAGAAATTCCGAATCTCCCTCTAGCACATAGGTGGGTTATGCGTCGTAGACTTGCACGAGAGTATGATGCCCATCATAATCTCCCCCTCTGCAGGGATGTGTTGGATTTGCTGGAGGACGCACAAGTGAATATCTAACTAAACTTACCTGTTGTTGATTAACTTAGTGTTGCGCATTCTAACGGTTTGTGTTCTTATTTGATAGTTCATCTGGACGTCGTACAACGATGAGGTGATAGGTACCCTGCCAGCGTACTGCACGTTCGGCCGACATATTTGGAGAGCTTCTGTCCCGCTCACATGCCTCAATATTGTCGAGCATCATGCCTTCGAGCAGGTATTTCGTCAGTTTGGCCTACCCTTATACCTGATCCGCCTGCATGGCATGCTTTACATTATGAGAGGGATGACCAGTCCAAGGCGGACGACACATTTATGACATGGCTTAATGACCAGTTGGGTATTTGGGACAGGCGAGGGGACTTGACCCCACCTCCGCAACACTTTCCTATTGAACTCTATATGGCATGGTACTGCACTGTTTCCCAACTTTTTATCGAGAACCCAGTTCATTAGGCACACGGTTGATACGTACCATACGTCGGGAGACACGAGGCCCTGGTATATTTTCTGTTATTATTAATTATATACCTGTAATTTAGTGCCAAATACGTAGTTTATATTTTTTACTTTGTGCAGGCGATTGGATTGCATACTATCTATCGTATGGGGCAGCAGATGCAGAGTTATGTCCACGATCCTGTGGTCATGCAGGAGTATAGTCGTCGATTCATGGATGTGGCTGCCCAGACACTGCAGCGAGCCCGATCGGATCAGTGTTTGGCACACGAGGCTGATTATATGGACCCAACCACGTACCAGCGAGGTCGTGGTATCCCACGAGCTGGTGGTGCCCGACGAGCTGGCGGTGCCCGACGAGCTGGTACTGCCGGACGACGTAGTTGTGGGCGGAGAGGAGGTGGTCCCCAGCAACGGGACGTTGAGGCTCCTGCTGATGATGTTGCTGCTGATATGGCAGGTGGCATGCATGAGACCAACATGCCGTCTTACAGCCTTGGAATTTATCCTCCTCCAGTGCCTTCGCAGGTGACCCTATCGGGTCAATTATTGATCACGGGCTCGGATATTCAAGGAGCGCATTGGGTAGATACTTCCCAGGCTCGTATACCACTGATGAGGATCGACCGACCCGAGATTTTACCGGTGGGCGCCGATTGAGTTATGGCTCCTCATCACATGCGCAGATATAAGTTTATTAGTATTGAATTTGAATTTGTTTTAACTGTAACTTATTTATTTTTTTTAACTTTATTAATTTCCTTTTTAAGGCTTCATGCGATGCTGCAACAGATGACTACATTCAGGATCCAAACCGATTATGGTAAGACAATATAAATTGTTGTGAATTGTTATCTATTTTTCTATACTAAGTTTCATATTATTATGTAGCCTTCTACTGGACCTGACAGCGCCACCAATGCATGTCATCCTGCGCCGCATCCGGCGATAAAGAGACGACTTAATGATGATGATCCTGATAGCGTACCTGGGCGGGAGGGGATGTGCCTCAGGCCAGCGGCTGCATTGAGACACACCGGATGCGGGACACATTNCTTAACACAAGCACTTAAACTTAACTTTCACTTCAATTAAAATAAAATTTAGTACAACAAACAAGGNNTCTGCAGTTGTTCTCTGTAACATTCCTGATAACATGGTTCATCAACCCATTCCTCAAAATCACAAATAGGTTCGCCGGGAACCTTGTAAAACTGGTTCATACAGTGCCAGTAGCGGCGTCCAACTTCACCACCGTCCCAACAATTTTGCATCAAGCATGCTTTTCCACAGTTGCACTTTGGTGGACGAAGAGGTTGATCCATTTGTGAAATATTTGCTTTTAGTAAAAAAAAACCTTACTTTTAATGAAATATTGGTTTTTAGTAAATTTTGAGCACACAAAATAACTACAATGAGCCCGTTATTTATAGGTGAGACAACACACATATAATGTACTATCTAATGGCGCTATATTTTGCGTGTTAAATATCATGATATTGACAAGACAACTTTATGCCAGCTGGTCAACTTTTTCAGTTCGACAAGACAACATACACATAACGTACTATCTAATGGCGCTATGTTTTGCGTGTTAAATATCATGATGTTGACAAGACAACTTTATGTCAGCTGGTCAGCTTTTTCAGTTCGACAAGACAACACACACATAATAAATATACAGATAATTTTATTAAATTATTATTTAAATAGGTAAAATGGGAAAGTACAAATCATAATTAACAAGCATAATTTTATTTCATAAATCTTGCAACATAGACATAACAACTAATTATTACAACATCAACTCATGGGTAGTTAGGTACACTAGAAGAACACCCACCCCGAGCTTGATTACTGTTGCCACCCAAAGGACATTTTCTATGGTCGTGTCCTGTTTGCGAGCACATACCACATTTGCGTGCATAAACGGTGTCACTAACATCCATTTGGTTTCGTATACGCGTTCTCTTCTGCAACTGTCTTTTACGCAAATAGGACTTGTTACACACCATTTTAAATGGTTTCGAAGGTCAATAATGCTCAGCACCCACTGGCTGCAACTGACCACTATATGTGTTTAGGTACTTGGAAACACTATATTGTTGATCAACATAGTTGGTCTCCGCATAACCAACACGTTGAAAACACTTGATGGCATGCGAACAAGGCATGTGGTAGATGGACCATTTCCCACAGGAGCATAACCTTGCAAATTCATATACAGTATGTACATTATTACCCCGATTATTATGGATAGCAGTGCGAACTTCAAAAACACCTCTTTCGTTATCATACTGCAAAAATGAATGTCAATGTGCTCGCCGTCTGTATTTCTCAAATCTCTTTATAGGCACTGACATAAATTCAACACCCCTCTCCATCAATTCTGTTGCAGTTGCAGACCGTTCAACAAACCTTTCCGCCATCTGCTTGAACGACATCCGCACCATGGCTATAACGGACAATCCTCTTGCCAACTTCAATAACCCGTTGAAGGACTCTGACACGTTTGTAGTAAGAATTCCTCATCGTCTGCCGCCATCTGCATGCAACGTCCACTTTTCAGGGTCGTGTCGCATTAACCAATGATAGGCTGCCTTGTCTTCTTGCCTGATAGAATCCATATGCCTCGGGAATTTATGTTGTTGGTGGTCTATTGCTGCCATCCACATCAAATCATGTAGATCCTTATTGGGATGTTCCTTCTAGAAATTGGCCTTCAAGTGCCTCACACAGTAACGGTGGTATGCATAAGGTTCTTGCCATGTAGGCAAGTTCTCCACAGAACTTAATATACCACCGTGCCGATCAGATATTAGACAAATAACTGAACACTATTTGACAACGTGCTCTTTCATGTGGTTCAAAAATAGCGTCCACGTCTCTGTGCTTTCATTGGCACAAACAGCAAAAGCTAGAGGAAATATCTGTCCATTAGCATCCACTGCCACGGCTATCAATAGCTTGATATCGTACTTTCTATAGACATGAGTTCCGCCTATGGATATTACGGGCCGGCAATGCGAAAAACCATCAATTGCTGGCTTAAACGCCCAGAACACGTAATTGAATATGTATTCTGGTGTTCCCGGACTCTGCTCAAGCTTCTATTCAACAACTGTCCCGGGGTTAAAGTGTTGCAGTGCAGCCATGTACTTTGGCAGAGATGCAAATGACTTATCCCAATTACCGTAGACAATTTCAAACGCTCGTTTGCGCCCGAGAAATGCCTTTTTCGTAATGGTATGTCCATATTCCTGGTAGACTGATGTAATGAACTCTTTGATTGCATACCTTGTGGATGCTTCGAGGTGCGGAATAAGTACAAGAGAAATCAAGTAAATATCCAAGTTGAAGTGATTCCCGTTGAATGTGTCCATTTCGCATGTGTGGGTGGGAATGTATTTACCCACGTTCCACATACTTGTCTTCTTCTTGGTCGCACGCAACATCCAATTACATGGCCAAAACCACTTGCGGCAAACAACCTTGTATACCATCGGACTTGACTCCCATACTTGCATTTCACGACACTCTTTTACATTGTGCATTTTACAAGCCCTACTTAAGCGCGCTTTATCAGGAAAAAGCATCCACTTTGCAAGCACCGTTGGTCTAGACTCATCCCACATTGCTGTCCGGATTTCATCAAAATCCCTTGTGAGAGCTTCCACATCCGGCACGGTTGGCAAGTTATCAATGTAAGGAATCTCCTTTGAATGAAACGGCACTTCAGACTCGTACACTCTTCGTCTAGGGGGGTCTCTCTTCAAATCAGGTCCTTCCTCCTCATCCTGCTCATCACCATCCTCACGAGGAAAGGGTGTCTCGTCTCCGGATTCATAGGCATTGTTATCGTAATCACTGTTCTGTTCCTCATTCTGTGCATCTTCCAAATCCCGATGTAATGCGTCATTTTCGGTCAATTGAGTGAGTACGGGTGGTTCAACTTGCTCGTTTTCACTACACAACCAACAAAAATATAAGCTACTGAATTAATAAATGCTTTCCATATGGCTATATCGCTTCACTTACAAGTCGTAATGTGATGAAATTCCATGATGGACGTTTTCAATTAGGTGATGACTACCGGATGGGGCACTTGTAAAATTCATATCCGGCCGGTATCCCCTATTAAATATATGAGCGTTAATACAAATTCAATAGGCCAAAAATATACATAATTAACACAAATAAAAATTGAAGTTTACCACTCGTCTTGTGAATTATGGAAAGCAGGGTATAAATTATTTTCTCGCTGCTCATTTGCCAGCGGTGATAAGTTTAAATCAAGGAAAACTCTTTCATCCAGAACCTGTCTAGCAAAAACTGCTCCAAAATAACCACCCGATGACTGGGAGTTATCTCTACTATGCACAACCTCGTTTTTTGGAACGTCTTCGACCTTCGCGTACATCTCCAATATTGTGATTACAAGAAATTCCCGGCATTCATCCGGAGTCCTCAGAAAATTACTCAAAGTTTCATCATCGTCGATGTTAAACTCCGAGTAAAAAGCAACCCCTTGTGGAGTGACGGAATACGGATATCTTCCGGTTACTTTAAGTATCACTGAACGTTTCCTCACACTCATTTTTTTGCATAACAAAGATATCAATTTATCGTACTCCATTGTAAGTGGCAATTTAACATGACACTGAGGAGGTAAACTGTAGCCCACGTAGTTATTCTCCATCACAACCTCACCCCTCCCCAATATAATGAAACTTTTATTCTACGCTCTTCAAACATAATGAAAAAAATGGAGAATTTAACAACAATAAACGTTTCAACAAGAGTTAAAATTTTTTTTGAATGAATTTCTATACAATCCTAACCTCTTTATATAGGGAATGGCTAGCCGGGATTTTTTTTATATATATATAGCGCCCAAAAAGTTGGCACTATATGTGAGCACGTGATTTTTGCCCTATGAGAACTACTCCTAAAAATTCAAAATAAAATAGTTTTGTGTTGTTTGTAATTTATGTGTATTTTATCTGCGCATGTTTTAAATGAGAAAAATACAAAAATATGTGTCGCATGTGCATTTAGGATTTAATTATGCATTTTGGAATTAATTGAACCATGTCCTATTTTAAAGAATGAAAATCACAAAAAATTTGAATTTTGGTAGTTTTGTCATTTTTATTGTTTAATTGTGCGATTTTTTTTCGATCTTGTGTGTTAATTGTTGTTAAGGGTTAATTAATATCTTTTTAAAATAATCTTGGTTTTACAATTCAATTTAGGAATTTTGGTTTTAGGAATTAAAAAGAAAATAGAAGAAAAAGAAGAAAACAAGAGAAAAATCGGACTGGGCCAATTTTAAAAGAAAGTTCAGGCCCAGTCCAAATATCCTTTTACCCGGACCAGCCCGTTTCAAAGACACCCAAACGGCATCGTTTTGGGGAAGCCCTGATCAGGGCCGTTGATCTCACGGGATCAACGGTCCAGATCACTCCGCCCTAACCCGTAACCCCATTACCTGACCCGTTACCCGGATCGACCCCGACCCCAACACTAAACCAAACGNGCATCGCCTACCGGAAATCGCCTCACGGGGGTTCCGGTGGTCCAATGACCCCCATATTCACACCCCTGAACCACCACACCCTCCCTTTTCCAAATCTACCCTCCGTTGTCCTCGAATCATCACCGTCTACTTCGAATATCAGATCGAAGAATCAGTCTAGAACCCTAGTTCGTCCAATGATCCCCAAATTAAGACCCCTAGAACATCTAACCACCCCCAATCCAAATCCAATACCCGTTTGCTTCGAATCATCCTCAAACTTCTCGAATCTTCATTCGAAGATTCGAGCAAAACCTGGACCTACCCCAATCCGCACTGAACTCACACCTTGGCACCCCCTGACCTCCCTCATGCCCAAAACACGCTTGGTTCCATTCGAATCAGACCAGAACCACTCGAACCCCAAATCAAACCCCCAAGAACCCTAGAAAGCGAGAGGTTGAAATCCGTGCCAACTAAAGGATGATTTGGGGTCTAATCAACTTTAGTCGAAGCGTTCTCAGTTGAGA